ACTTATCATGTATGACCTGCTGGGTGTGTCTATTACAGTTGGTTTTTCCCTTCGAATCACTCACGACGGATTCACTTGAAGTTACAACGGATTAACTTAAAGTTGAAAAGGTATAGCACGAAATCGGAACCTTTATCCAATAAGACAAACACATCCAGCTTCACACTTAGAGTCCCAGCAGGGATATATGATGTAAGTACAAGAATAAGACAATAGGCTGTTTCGTTTTGCGGGTTATCAAATAAAATTTCATCACAATTCAGATAGATATATATGAATGGCAAATGAATGAATGAACTTCCAAGGATTTAGATCCTCACTGATCAACAGTGATCAGCAACTGCAAATATATAGTCTCTGCAATTTGTATATACGCTTAATTCAAAGACATTGCAGTTTATGCTGGCTCTCCAAAGTTCCAACGGTGTCAGTTTATTGTACAAATCTACCGTGGATAATTTGTACTACCAATAGATGTATTTGTGATTTTTATGGAAACAGCAATGCGGAACACATATACTTTAAATTACCAATGAACTGATCATGATTTTATTCTTGTTCTCTGCAAGGATATTGAGTCCTCCGCTTGGCAGACTCACCAAAGTAAGGTTATGCATCATGGGCAAATCCGGGAGCGCACAATCATCCAGCGGGAAAATCGATCGTTCCTATCATTGGTATTGTGAAAAAATTAGCGTTATTGACCCTATAACGCATCAGGAGTATCAGTTTCAAGTGAAAAAATGGATAGAGGCCATCACTGCGCACGCCACATGGAATGAGACTGTGATCGATGTCTCGACCGTACAAGAAGATAAGAACCTGCAACTAGTCAAACAGTGGCGAGGTAAGATTTACAAAACTCCTGTGTCAGGATTGAAATATTAGTATTTAAAATGAGTGATTTACGACCGCATATACGCCCCCAATTAGTTTTTCTGCAAGGTATTAATGTTGATAATCTGAAATAAGTTACCGCTCTTGGTTCGGCTTCGCCAATGCAAACATATGTTGAAAACGCATCATCCGCTGCGGGTTGCAGTTTGACATCACTGGATGCCCTGTCTAGTGTGCAGTGACATAGATAAAAGGACTCTATTCCGTCGTTCCAGTCTTTTTCTTGCATTATGATAGACTGCTAAAACTAAAACCTTTATCACGCCAAAAAAGCAATTTTTATGAATGGCAGTTGGTTACTACATTGAATTCTTGTGAGACTATAACACTTGTTTATTATTATTGCAATAATAATATTTCATTTCTACTTGATGAGTAGCAGATTGCAGTGATACCAGTGTATTGTCCTGCTATGCCAGCAAGTTCAGATAACTGACCGTTAGCCGTAGTTTAATTCTGAAATTTGTGATGATCTGCAATTTTTCTAACTGCTTCCCTGTAATTATCCCCGGTTTCATAGAAAAATGTTTCACCTTGTTCTCCAGAGCGCTTAAACTTTTTTCTTAATACACTAGAACTGATAAAACCGCTTTCTACGCACATGATAAGTTTATCTACAGAATAACACATGATGGCAGTGTCTACATTCGGAAATCAGAAAACCCCTACGAAATTATTGAACCTCGCTAGAAATGTCAACTCCTTCTTCTATGTACATCCTCACGCACAGACAGTCGCAGCTGCTACCTTGCCCGCCTCTTGGTCAGTCGTACGAAATTTTTCGCCCATCTTAAGAAGATACTTTGCAGTGTACATTTCCTTATACGACATTGTCCACTTTCTTACTCATGTTGTTAATTATTAATATATAACCATTGCAAAAAATCACAAATTGCTAGGAATTTGCCGTTTGGGTGCACAAAGAGTTTACGGACTTAAGTGGAATTTATTATTGCAGATAATCGAAAAATAATGCCACTGACGTTTGTTCTTTGTTTTTAGATAAAGCAACGAAAAGATACAAAGTCTCTGTGTACACTGGCAGCAAACTGGGTGCCGGTACAGACGCTAACGTGTACATCCAACTGTTTGGAGAAGGTCCTGGACAAGACTCCGGGCTGCAGTCATTGAGAAAAGACGGACGAAACTTGTTTGAACGAAACCAAATGGACGAATTTCAAATTGAGTGCTATGATTTAGGTCTGTCACTTTTTGAGAACAAGTCCAAATATAGTTCGACTGTCTTTTATCGTGTCTTTTTCTGCTCGTCATAATTTTTACTCTGGTACTGGATCAATTAGCGGGAGGAGGGATTCTCCAACCGTCATTTTGGTTTATAATAAGAATACATATAACGATGGATCGAGATTCATAACACTTTTACGCATAAAATGATGTTACTGTTACTCACTTTGCGAGTTTCGACAAGAAGGACCATGGAACTATTGGTTATAATGGTAATAGGTTTTACAAAAATAACAAGCCTCTCCTCAATGTGGCTTGATAAATCTACCAATAATAATCTCTAACACCACTTTATTTCTTATTAAATTATGCTAAAAACTGAAGCATTTAGATCTCGTAATGAGCTTGAACAGGCAAATCAGAAGACCGACACTGCCAGAGGAATTCCTTTCGTACACTCTCATCGGTCTCGTACGTATCACACTGAACAACACGCACACACGATTATGCCGAAATAAAGTTCTTAATGCGCTTCGTTTGTCTATGTTGTTGAATGTTATACGTACGCGACCGATGAGAGTACACGAAAGGAATTCCCCTAGCAGTGTTTGTCCTCTGACTTACCCGTTCAAATACTGTTCACTCGAATTCATTCTGCAACATCATTTTTCCATGAGATACAATTGAACTACACCTTCTCTGGTCCCATTCGGTTTTATGACGCTCTCCTTCATTTTTTGCTTGCTGCATTCATTCACAGGTGTTCTGAGTCGAATTATGGTCGTTCAAGACAATAGCGGAGCAAGTGCATCCTGGTTTTTGGACAAAATCCTCATCACTGATGTCTCAAAGAGCGAGGTGTACAACTTTCCGTGTGAGCAATGGCTATCAAAAACGAAAGGAGATAAGCGAACCTGGAAGGAGATTTATGCCGTTCAATAGATCCAGATCGAATTTAATATGCTATATTTCTGAGTAGTTTGTGTTCTAATTTATTATCCACTGAATATACCCAGACGAATTCCATACGCTTCTCCTTTGCTTATTTTACAGTTCATTTGAGAACCTTATAGCTTTCATAACAACCATCATCATATCATACTTCTGTTTGATATCACATTATTCACAAGTTCTCTAAGATAACTACCTGGAAGATTTTGTGATATTCATCTCACAACAAACCGTGAGTAAACCAGTGATTCATTCGGAGAATTATGTATACCCTTTGGTTATTTCTTCCCAATTGCTTCTTATTTCTATGAGAACTTTTATACAACTACGCATGTATATCAGTTACGGTCTTCCTTCATCCCGTTCCGGTGAAGACTGGGCAACCTACTGCAATGAAATATTTCTCTGCATCTGTACATCTGCATACTGCAGTTCGGGTTATCAATAATATATGGTCAGAAGTAAGAGTGCCATATACGGTCACAATTATTTACCGAACTCATTTGTTATCAAGCTAGCGCAGTATGAACGTGTACAGATGCAGCGCAATGATCCGGGATACATAGTGCAACCCCGTATTTTGGGTTTCTCCATTCAGAAACATTTCTCGTTTTTAGGTGGTTCGCAGATAAAATGGGTAGTGAAAATGCTCTCGACGGCGAGACAGTATAGTTATGTTTAGCGCGTTACTTTATGGGAAGTCTCTCGTGAAGCTGATGCCCTGAGTAGAACGTCATCAGCAAATAGCGGACCAACAGTCAGATGCTAATGAGCTACGACTGTAGCTCATATAAAGCTGATTGGTCGGCTGATAGCACCATAATAAGCAGATACAAATGGCTCAAATTCTAAGTTTTATAATGGTTATATTACAAAGGTATTGTTTATTGAACTACATAGGATTTGTACTCACTGAGTCCTGTCAGTAGTTCAATTAAATAGCAATTTTTAACTTTCACTAACGGGTGCTTAACAGTGAGGTGCTTTAATGCTTCATCGAGCCACGACTTGAATGAATCGATGGTTGGTGCACACACAACTTGAGTTATTACAAACCCAGGCTGAAGTAGTGATGCCTGCAGTCTAGCCGACTATTTTAGGACAAAAGTTTAAATGGATGTCCCCTGAGGTGGCTATTCCCGAATAATGTTATTAAAGTGCTAGGCAGGTGGTTAGGTTGATGTAGTAGGTGATATATGAGGTTCATGTCTCCCCGTATTCGACGGTATGCAGACGAACAGATTCCGAGAGTATACAACCTTTCACCATAGGTTCTAGATTATAACCCATTGACCATTTGGCTGCTGTTCTTTGTGGTCGAACGAGTGCCTTTCGGTCGAAAATCCGCCATGGATTCCAACTCTGCATAGCGTACTCGGTATATGCTAATAGCAAAAGGGGCAATAGATCTGCTTCGAATGATCCAAAAACACGTTTCAGTAATCCATCTTGCTTTATGGCCACTATATCCCTTGCTACGTGGGTAGTAGTCACAAGAACACAATAGTCGGACAACTGTATTGACCGAGCTCACTTGACACAATGATCAGGCTAGGCAGCCGACTGCGGTTATAAGGGTAGGAAGAACAATATAAACGTTGTCTCACCTGTGTGTCTATCCGCACTCACTTAGTCCGGCGGTGTGCAAGGGCTTGTCAATCAGCCGTGACCCGTGTGTGTGAGGTGTGCGTAGGCACATGACTGGGTTTCTCCGTTCCGACATCGCAGTGGCCTTTGATGATGCTCTAGATCAATTCGCGGAACATCCTAGATCCTCAGGAACGAAAACTCGCAAATCCTTTTAGTTCGGAGCACGTGTTAATGACGGATTTCCAAATATGTATGGAAAGCGACCCTTATGACGCAGCGCAACACACTCATTAATGATAGAACATCGGTAAGTTGCATCGAGCGTCTCCCGTATGATTTCATAAATTGTAGGATGCTGTACCCTTCACCGTGTTTTAACTTCGTCGGCGAATAATAGTGCCTTTTCTCCAAGGATATTTGGTAGGTTATTTATGAATTTGTAATGGTAGTGGAGGTAGTAGTAGTGAAGTTACGCACGGAATTCAGGACACGAACTACGCAATCGGAATCACGGAACACGAATTAGAAAACTGATGGCACTGGACCGCAATGGCTCGAACTCGCAATAACCCGCAGGATCGAGACGCGAGGAAAAAGGCCACAAGACAGGCGAATCACAAAGTCGTTTATTGAAGGAAATGAAAGTGAATATATATGTACACAAGAAAAGATCATTGGCTACCTTAGTTTCCACCAATCATATTGCATCACATCTTGCGTCGTACTGCTCTTCTCTGCATTGTATCTGATTGGCTGGAACGGTGCACCAATGCCGTGTATCCGGCGGCTGTGCACGTGCTACTGGCGTCATTGTTCAAGGTCGATTAACTACCAATGTCTGGAAACTGTACCGCGCTGTTCCAGGGCAGGTGTGATCTCGTAGATCCGAATCACCACAGAATTCCAGGGAAAGTACTTATCCTTGTGGATCTCCACGGACAACCTCAGTTGGTCGCGATTGGGAACCAATACAGCACGTTATCAAAGAAATTCCTCAATCCAATCGAGTCACATTCCTTGAAAACCGTTGTTATGAAGCTTCCGCAGCAGTAGGCTGTGTTTAACCCTGTCAAGAGCTTTAAGGACGTTCAAGTGGACTCCACCTTCTGCCTCCCTTGTGTCCACTGATCTTGTCCACTCATCTCGTGCACGTAACGGATTTGTAGTGCACAACCGTTTTCTTCGAAACCCGTATTGGACCGGCGATGGAATGTTATACTTATCCAAATGATCCATCAGAGAATCAGTAACAGCTGATTCCATTACTTTCGGTAGAACAGCCTAGAGGGGCCTAATGTGGTTGGCCACCCCAAGTCCTGGGACGAAGTTTACTGATTTCCATCACTAAACAGCAGATCCTCATAACTATGAGGCTTTCCCCATTTGCTGTTCATCACAATAAGTTGTGTAAAAAAACTGGACTGTAGTTCGCAGGATCACTTCGGCAGCCACCTTTTTGAATGGGTGAAATAATACCGTGTTTCCAGGACTGAGGAATTCCTGTATGGTGGAACATACTTTGGTATAAATTAGCAATTATTTCAGATATGTGGTTTGTCAAGGATGTCAGTCTGTGGGCGGATGTTGTCTTCCCCTGAGGATGCATTCGTACAGAGCGCGAATATTTCGATTTTGCCGTTTCAGATTCTAAGGTGACGGTATTCAATTAGGGGTACGGAAATTTGGCAGAAGGCATGGAAGCTGCAATGCGACTAGGTCACCTGCGGTGGACACTCTATGCAACTGGACTTTTAGGAATCCCGCTGCTTCGGACGTAGTGGTGGAAACGCGTCCTGCATGCCTTAGTACTGGTATTCCGTGTTTCACTTTTCTGGTGGTATTCATATGCTTATATAGTACCTTGGATTGAAAATAAATGTATGCTCCAGGGTTTCTTGAAACCTCCGTTTATCCTCTCGCACTAATTTAACACTGAGGTTTCTCAACATGATACAGATATCTTATGTGTCGGCAGTTGGACAAATATGTTGGGATCTGGTCGAAATCGGCGGTTCGAACATTCGTTCAATAACGGAATTGGCATGCGATAAGAGATTGAGGTGTGTTTTTCTAACCGAGATAATAAGAAGCAGTTCGTATAACTCTTTCCATTATTCGTGCAAATGTACGGCCATCTATCTGATTGACCGATCAGGGAGTGGGGCTTGTACACATCAGCCGTGTTGAGTATTTCCCTGACCGAGGACTACTTTCCCAAGAAAACGTTGCGTGTGCTTTCACATAATAAATATGCAGTTCAGTTTAGTTCGGTTCAGTTTGCACACAACGAATATGGCTCTTGCCAATCGAGCGTCCAGCTTTTTGTGTTGTCGACGGATGAGAATTGCTTCCCACACTGTGTACAGATGGTTTGGTAGTTGTAATCCGCTCGATTGAGTCCCGTTTCCAGAACGATGTTTCCTTGGGAATAGGTTGAAAGTGAGGAAAACAAGCAAGGATATCTCCTCGCCTCTTAGGTTAGGGACCTCAAGGTACACATGCGTTCTTATACACAGAGCACACGTGACAGGACAGCCAGTTTGAGAACAAATCCAACAATCAAGCCCGAATTTACTCGATTTCAGAGGTACAGTGGATTTTATTATTGGTGTTCTCACTCTAAATACTAAATACTAACTTTGGGGAACGTTGCTGACCAACATGCATCCAGGGCCACCAGCGGGAGTGTAGATGGCCACGTTCTGCGATGCTGCCAGTATAACAGGGGCATGTCCATCAGCTCGGTAACATTTTTCGTAAAAGCGCAGCTGTTTCTGGATAAATTGGTGGAATTAATTGTTCATTTTTTAATGGAGGAACCTGTGAATCGTTTCGCCGTATTGGCTAACATTTGCCTAAGACGTTTCGAGATATATGCTCGTCTGTAATGTGTTCCCTCAACACACAACACAGAGGGTCTAATGTCGTTGTTAAGATCGACGAAACAGTAGCAGTCAAGAAAAAATTCGGCAGAGGTTAAAGTCATTCAGCCATCTGGATGTTCGGAATGTATGGGAGAAATCTGAACAAAGGGGACTATCAACGAGTACGAGATCGTTCTGCAAACACCCTCATTCCGATAAGACACCAGTGAGTGATTCCTGGAGCAACTAGTTACAGTGATGAGCGGGAAGGTTTTCGCTCACTATCATCGCTTGTGTAACGACGTTGGCAACATACAATTTCGTTTGAGTGTGGTTTGTGTTAATGTTTCCCTTAACCTTTTGGTTCTCTTGAAGTCTGAAGTGATTCAAGGGTTCCAGGCTGTTGCTGAAATGTCCCAAGTCCTTGAAAGGTATCTGTGTTTTCTTTTCGTTCAAACTTTCTCTAGAACAGAGATTACTGAAAAGGTATTAGTAGGGTTCCCACTCGAGGAGAGAACTCAAATGGAGAACTGCGAA